TCTGCTGGTGAATAGGGCGACTGTAGAAGTAGATTACATTTCATTTCTTTATTCGGCTTTGGCTAACTGTTCCATCGAGAAGTTCGTTGAGATAAGTTCATGTGTGTGCCACTTTCCAACCTTTCTCGAAGTAATAAGGCATAATGTGGCGTGTATGAAGATAGCTTCTCAGGCATATTTCTGTTGAGAAAAGCGAGAAAATCATTTCAATCGAAATTCCGAATTCAATATTCAAATTGTATCGAGAGAAAAAAGGTCACGAAAAAATCCGCAATAATATGCATCAACCTATTATCAACTTCTCGCATGCTTCTCATGTTCAGGTCTTCCCCGCGGCCAATATTTCCTGCTTGGCCTTTTTTAAAATTTTCCCAATGTTGTTTTTTTCTGTGGTTGTCCTTACACTCTCACTTGCTCATTCATCTCTTCATGTCGGATCGTCCACCGCGCTCGCACTCCGCAACACGCCCCCTTTTTCGCCCAGCCGGTACGCCACCTACGGTGGTATCTGCGATTCACTCATAGCTTGAGCGTCGTTCGCGTCTCCTCAGGATCATTCTGCTCATTCGAATTGGTGTATCCCTGACTTCTTCGGTGATGTGCTAAAATCGTTTTTCATTCATATTATGTCCGATGGCGTCTCTCATTCATGTGCAGAAGGGAAAGACTCATCCACGGAACAGAGTTTGAGTGAAGCGAGCAGAAGCACTTGCGCAGGAAGAGGAACGGGAAAGCGTTTTGCCCGAAGAGCAAAGAGGTGGGCAGAGCTACAGCAGAGAAGATACAATCAACGACTTGTCGCATTACATTCGAAATTGCTCGAATCCTCGGAGGAATCTTACACTTTTGATTCGTATGGGTTATGCAGTAGTGCAGTAGAGCTTGTGAAACGTGAGGAAGCTCTGCATATATCACCAAATGTGAAAAAAGTCTGTAACTCTATTTCGAATTGGACGACAAAGCCTCACTGCAGTAATGCAGTCAAGCATTGCTCTGTAACATCGTTTGAGGCGTCTTTCTTCATGAATGGTGGCTCCATCGAGCGTGCCTCTCGCACATGGTTCTCAGTACGTCAGGTTGCCGCAGAATCAGTCTCTAATGATTTCCCAAAAAACGGACTGCCGCATCAAGAGAGAAAAAACACTTGGGAATCTTCAGTTCCTTCTTCGGATCTAGGCAATCTTCTTTCATTGGTTGAAACTGAACTGTCTTTCGCATCCAACAACCCACCGATATTTGAATCAGCACCAGACGACGAATCGTTTTCTTTCCATCTGTTTTTTCATCCAGACATTGCAGATAGATGTAGTTTTCTTGGTGAGTTTTATAATTTCTATGATACGTTTTTGTTCTATGTTGTTTTCTATGAATTGATGTGCAGTAATTGTTCCTACGCGTTGAATTATAAACGAAAAACGGAAAATCAGGCTGTTACGTTTTGAAACTAGAACGACATCATTCGAGTTGGGTCATTGTTTATCAACGCACTTCAAGATGAAACAATTACATAAATACTAAAGTCTTTTGTAATAAAAATGCTCCTGAGGAGAATATTCATTTGTCGGCTGCGGATGAGCACTCTCGATTCACTCCATCAACAAGGTCAATAGATAGGAGGGATTTCGATCGTAAAAGTTTTTCTTTATTTTTTTTCGTTAGCTTGCTTTTCACTTCATTTCTTTAATTTCTATTTCGCGCCCTTTCTGATCAAATCCCTCAGCTACTCCCCTGTTGACACGGTGAGTTTTGTACCTGATATTTTCGTCAGAAATTTGAGTCAGAATGTAGAGGACTGAGCTTTTTCTTAAAATCTGAACAATTTCTAAGAATGCCGCTGCCTGATGTCCTCCACAGCTCAATGTTTGGAAGGCGTCGCAGCTTTTCTCTAACCTTGCTATCGCTTGCTGTTTAGTTCCAAAAAGAAATCTTCTGAATTCCGGAAAAGAGGAATACACTTAGAATGGATTTGAGCTTGGCGAATTTTGTTTTTTGAAAAGTCTTTTTCCACGTTTCCCCTTCCTATTTCTGTGTTATGTCATTTCTTTTGCAAGAAAGCCTTAGCAAAATGCTGGTTTTGTTGTCTCCCGCACCATAATCCTTTAACGCGAGCGTCTGTTCCTTTCTTTAAAGAGTGCGTTCTCGCTTGAACTGTCGCGCAGGCTATGACCCTGTTTTGGTGTTCGCGTTCATTAAGAAAATTGACGTTTCGAATCTCCTCTTTGGCTCACAAAGGAGAGAAACTGTGTGCGAACAAAATAATGGTGAAGAGGAAGTTCGCAGTTATGCGTATAACTCATACATATATTACATATATATTACTATCTAGTTTTTTTTCTACATCGAAGTGATAGACTTATCGTGATAGTACAGTAACAAGCTGCATTCAGTTAACACTGCACCGCCACCTGAGCGTGAATGGGTGATGATCCGACATGCGGATCCTGATCGGCCTATAGGTATGTTTCTTCGGTTCCGTTTTAGCTTCTCTTTTTGTGTTTGATCGAAATTCGTTAAAACAGCATTAATTTCCCTTCATATTTATATATTGTTGAGCATATTTTTTCATTTCAAAAGAAAGCCAGCCGGTAAGAAAAAAAGCAGGAGGGCGGTCATATATTTTCTTCTCTTTTCTTTGAATCGCATTGGTTTGTATTCAAAGGAATTGGTATTCTCATTTCTGGGGTGGATCCCAGCGCTTCAGCTGCTTCGTCTCATGTAGTGCATAGTACATTAGTCGTATTCATTTTTCGCAATAGATTAGCGATCCTGGGAGCGACACGATTGTAAGTTGCGCGCTCGATCGGGGCCGGTTTTCGTGGACAGCTAATGGCTAAACACTGTAAGAGGAGCGATCTACAATCGCGAGCAACATAACAGAACCGGCTATGCCACTAGCCGCTTTTTATCATACATCTTGTAATCAGCAACGTATCAAGATGGCATAGCCATGATCGGAGCATCACGTTTGGGAATTCTATTGCCAATAAGAATAGGGTAAGAGCAATCAAGATACTGGCGTAATAGCTTGTGACCTCCAAAAATTGTATTCTGAAAATAAAATACGGCTGAGTAATCTGCTACTGTAAAAGAAATTCCTATACATTTATGGTATTAAATAAAGTTATGCTTGCGGTTGAATAACAGTTGCGTTCATTTCTAAGAAATATCGACGAATTCATTAATTATGGAAGAGAATAGCGAGAAGGAAACCTTCCAAAAAAAACGGAGATGTTTGGGTGACGTGAACCCGGGCTTTATCGCGCACTACCACTCAAAGATCATCCTTCCGACCACACTTTCTACACGAAATTTCATCCCTTTTATCTTCGCCACTGGACGTACGCTGGCATTTGATGAGTACAGATCAGATTTCGTTCCTTGCGGTCAATCAGCGAAGCGCTGCTCATTGTCGAATAAATGTCTTGTGTTTGAACTCAAAGGCTGCGGACATGGTACAGTAGCGCTCAAAAGTCTTCGGCCGAACGCTCTTACGCTTTTTCGTTTATAACTTTTTCTTAGCGGAGCAAATCGCTCGAAATTTTGATGTTATCCAACACTATCTGGCTGCAAAGCATCCTCGTAACTAGAGAAGGTGTTTTCTTGCGGTAGCTGAATTTGCTAAAGGCAAAGTTAGTAACGTCTGCAGTTAATCGCACCTTATGTACATTTTTCTTCTCTCTGTGTTCTGCATTGGCCTTCGTACACTTTAGACATTGCAGAAAGGAAAGAAGTACAGAAGAACCAGCATTCCTATTTCCAGTTAATTTTGAGTTCAAGCCCTTTGGGATATTTAAAACATGATCAGAATGCAGGTTAATAGTTCAAGTTCACAATACACCCTTGCCACACATATCGAAATTTCGAATGATAAAATCTAGTTGGAAAGGAGTTTAGACTGAAACGTACGACTGAGGAAGCGTTGGCTGAAGACTTTCGACGGACGCTACTGTATATGGTAATACTGAAGTATGAAATAATGTTATAATCAATCATTAGTACACGTGGTAACGGTAGTGTTATAGTTAGTTCCCTTAAATGGAAGCTTTGTTGATACCTATCTCTTACCGCTGTTTTTTTTTTTGCAAAAGTTCTTTTTTTACATTTCCTAATTATTGGATTCTGTTTCTCAGTTCATGGAAGGATTTACTACCGAAAAACATTTTCAGCCACCTTCACTGTGCTCTGCTATAACGTTCTCTGTGACAAGTACGCCACTGTTAACCAATATTCCTATTGTCCGTCATGGGCTCTCAATTGGGAATATCGGAAAATGTCTATAATGAAAGAAATTCGGAATTATGAGGCAGACATAATTACATTACAGGTGACACTAGATTTGTATCATCTCAATATTCTTTGCAATGAGAGAGTGCACACTTCTTGATTTCTCTACTAAAGACAATGTTCGTGTTAAATGTAGTGATATGGGCGAAATGCCAGGGCTATTAATGCAGCAGAGGAGTTAGCGCCGAAGCGGTCTGAGGTATGCATCAACTGCCATGCTTTTCGCGTGATAATCGCTTGGTGCCTTCTGACCCATATCCATTCGAGATTTGACTCCAATTCTTTCTTCTGTAGTCTCTGCGCAATTCTTATCTTATTGCAAGCACAGTATGAACTCAAACAATCATTCAAGGAAGTTGAGTGATTGGGATTTTGACCTATACGAGTGTGATAGACCGAACTTTTTCGAGCGAAACAGAAATTGCAAATTATTGTTTTTCAGTGCTTAAAGTGGAAAATATTCACCGTAGCGAAGTTTTGCGCATTTTCTACATTTCACTTTTCTTTCATTACTTAAGTGATCAGCATCTTCAAACAAGGCTTCACACCTTGTACTGAGTATGGAAACGCCAAAATATTTCTTTCCACGTTTACTTGAGATACCACAGAAGTCAAACTTTCCTAGTCATTTTCCGGTTTCGCCTTAGTAATTGCCCGTGAACTGTGTTGTTCTCAATGGGGAGAATCTGCACCTAAAATTGATGATTTCTTCAAATCTCCGCACCTTACTTTTTGTGGGTTTTGCCACTTCTGACACCTACCGTCAACTCAAAAGCGAACGTTTTCTCGTGCTTGTTTGCCGTACTCACATACTCCGGACACTCTCCGCTCAGAAGTTTCGAAATAATTAATCTACATTGCGAGTACTTGTTCATGAAAATAGGAAGTTTGACAATGCAGGGGTCTTCAACAGCTTATGCTTCTCCACCACTCTTGTGTTTGTTTCACTCAATTTTTAAGTACATGCACGTAGGAGTTGCCTTGTTACCGAGGAACTTTGACGATTAACTTGCCCTCCTTATCTAACTCCACATGTCTCTCCACTCTAGAAAGTCTAGGTCTAAGGCGGTGGATGCGCGAAGCGACTGGAGAGAACTGTTTAATTGCTTTGATGGGCCTGATGGCCCAATTATGTTAGAATACTCAAAGGTACTATTTTTAATATTACTCGAAACGAATTCGAGAACCGTCTGAGACGCACATTTATGCCCATAGTAGAAGTCATCAATGTAAGGCGTAAGTTGTTTGCTCAGAACTGTGCAATATATGATAACTGCTATGAATTTTAATAAGGCTACCTCTTTCATTTGAGGCAGGGTTTCCGTTGCTAGTTGCATTTGAAATAATACGAAATACTTGGGGGTTAGTGAAGATTGTAGTTCAAGTAGCATTCTCGGGATGGAATTATGTATGGATCGTGCAGAAGTTAAAAAGGATCTTCCTATGCTTCATTTTTATACCGTCTTTCTCTCCTGGATCTGAAAGAAAAGGTCCGCGTGCAGGCCATTTGGTGCGAAATATTCTGATCCTTAATACTCCCATACAGAGATCATCTGAACTCATTCGGTGTTTCTTTTTTTTAGATAGTATATAAAAGTGGAAAATGAGCGACATATTGGACCTCCTCTATCGTCCATGTAGGTTCAAATTCATTCAATTCTTTTCAGGAAGTGGAAACGGAGCAGTTTCGCCTAATGTTCCAACCTGAGTTGAAAGTGTTAGGGTACACTGGAATTTTTTCACCGAAATCTCGTGCCAAGACTATGAATGAAGAAGATCGGAAGTACGTAGATGGGTGTGCGATTTTTTGGAAATCAGAGAAGTGAGTCGATTTCATTTTAATAGTTCAGCGCTTACTGGCCGACGCCGGCGTCAAAACATCTTGAATTTATATCCATTTGTAACATCGCTTAGTAATAGCCTTGTCACAGGTTCGAGATTGAAAAAGAACACCTGATTGAGTTCACGCAAATTGTTGTGAAAAAAGCCGCTACATCGGAGCATATGCTCAACCGAGTAATGCCTCGAGATAATATCGCGTTGTGTGCTGTTCTCCGAATCAAGGAGAACGTCTACAACAACAGTGAGTCCATTGGCTATTATTCTAATTACCTTCCGCAGTAACTTTTTGGTTAATATTACTACATATTTAAATACGGACAGTTCTGACTGGTGTTTCTAGGACGCATGACAATGGCTGCAGCAGACAATGTTGTTGGTACGCCACTTGTTGTTTGTGCTGCTCATATTCACTGGGATCCCGAACTTTGTGACGTGAAGCTGGTGCAAACAATGATGCTTGCCCACGAACTATATAAACTTCTTGAAGAGGTATGCCTGTTTTGGAAGATGCACGTGTTTTGAAAAGATCCTTCAGTTTCTCTAGCGTGGAACACTCAAAATCGCAGCCACGCGCGTGCAGCGCAATTCTTGAAGTTTGTTTCATTTCTCTGAAACATCTTCCGAGTAATGGCAAATTGAATGTTGTCCTCTAAATCTGTCTGCGTCTTCTTCCAAAATTACGATAACATCGGCTCGATAACAAATCACATTTTAATTTTTCAGGTTGCTGACCAGTTTCGAATAACGCCACAGCAGACACCGTTGCTCATATGTGGTGATCTGAATTCTACCCCCGATTCAGGTGTGAAGGTTTCATTTACAACATTTGATTCAATTGATTCGTGACATTTCCGCTTTTACGATTTAGGGGTATAAGGTAAATCCATAGTGGTTAATTAGTCCATTTCATATTTCCGCGCTGAGAGACATTCATTGAATATCGGAGGGGATCATTTTCTATTAAGCTGGGAACTCTTTACGCTTTCTCAGTCGGTATTTCTGTGCGAGTGGGCATTAGGACTGGTAAACTGAAATGTGGACCAGTTCTTCCGCAAACGCATCCTTTGTTTGGTCATGGTCAAAAAGTTGTTTCAATCCTCGTGTAGCTTTTTTAAGAGTTTATACTTCTTCAGTACGAGAACAAGACTTTCTTCTCCGCTATAATTTCGTTACAGGTGTGACCCAACTTTGAAAAACTTCATCGGTTTTTTTATTTGTTACAGTTCACAACGTTTTTCATATTACAACACAGTCTTTAAAAATTTTGACTTTTGACAAAGTCCTTTTGTGTACGGTCATTCACTATTTGTTCCTTACGCTCACGCTCAGCTATAGAAGAGATGATAGCGATTTAACATTCGAATTTGCCGTGTTATCCATTTTACTACTTTATCTTCTTTCTCTTGTGTTTACCTTTAGAGAAGTCTTTATGAAACGATTTCTAGGAGTCTTTGAGTTCCTCTCACGCGGCTCAATATCGCGGTCTCACACGGAGCTGAAAGGGTTTCGAGACGATAGCTGCTTGGAACGCTTCTCTTCTGGCGTTCGCGATCCAAATTGCTTCACTCATTCACTGCGACTCGATTCCGCTGTTGATTTGAGCAATATACCGTTCACAAACTACACGTGAGTGTACATAACATATACTTTGTTACTATTATTTTTTCGGCGGGAATAACTTTGCTTGTTCAGATTGGATTTCAAGGGAATGATTGACTATATTTTTTCGACGCCTCAATCTTTGGCTCGTCTTGGTTTCCTCGGCGCTTTTGATTTGAACTGGGTGGCACAAAATAAGATCATCGGTATTGTTCAAAGCTTGCTTTAGTTGTGCTGGTCCTGAACTGGGTATGTTTCAGGATTTCCACATCCACATGTGCCATCAGATCACATACCGATCATGGCGCAGTACGCAGTGATCCCAACGAGTCATCAACGTGCACCTCCGCCTCCTCACCCTCTCAACAACTACCCTCGATAGGGCACGGGCTGAGACATGTTAGTGATTGGCTCGCCGAATATCATTTTTCAACCGGGTGTTGGTAGTATGCTAGTTTATAGGTTGGTGGTGCGTTACTAGTAATTTTAATCACGTGTTCCAATCGTCATCCATGTGCACATAGATGAGTAGCTAGAAGTTTGTAAATTTGATTCATTATTGCCTCTTTCAAAGTGGTTATCATCTAGTTTCGCAAGGCTGAATGTATATGTATTGTGTTTGCATCATATTTATTCAATCATTTATCAATATTTTTGCTCTGTTTGTGTGTCTGTGTGTGTATTCTTCGTAGTATGATCGTCGTCGCCGTTGTCTTCGCAGTGGTCGTCGCCGTCGTGCTGAGAATCTCTGTCAGTTTTAGCTTAATTCCTCCTGTGATCATGCGTCGATTGATGCAGCATTGACCTAGGCCGGATCTCAGTCTAAGTGCTGTACAGGCTGCATCATGCATGCGTCGCGTTTGCTTTCTTTGTACGTTGTACATTACCACGCTCGTTTTAAGTTCTTTTTTTTTGCGATATGTCTTCAAACTTGTACTTGTCAGTGGCGGTTATGGGTAACACCGCAGCACCTCTATCTTTGTACTTCGCTCTTTTTTTTNTTTTTTTTGTGTGTTTGCACTCGCCCTTACGGTATTCGGTTCGCTCCTCTAATTCGTCTCTAGTTCATCATAACCTGGGTGTTCCGTTCTCACTTGCATTTGTTTTGGGAAATGAGGGTATCTCGTCCTCGTATCCGTACTCTTCCTCACCTCGGTCCCAGCTCTCGCGATCATCCCGTCACTCGTAAATTATTTGCCCAATTATTGCGATGCGAATTTTAACTATTGTATTTTTCCCCTTTTTCTGAATGAGACTCATATCACCGCCAAGCAGAGGTTAATATTTGATATGTTACAGCCTCCTTTTATTTCGAACTTTGTGGTTACGGTCACTCTTGTTTGATTTTAATTCTCTTTTTTCTTCTTTTATGCACCGTAAACAGATACGGTCATAAATAGAAAGTAAAAATGTAAGTTGGTCGTTGCAGATACATTGAAAATGTTTACATTCGCATAATTGTAGATGAAGTAAGTGTAGTGTATTGCAAATCAAACAATTGTGAAAGAATTACGAACGCGGTCATTGGAATGCCAAAGTAAATTTTGACGTCTCGAAAGTCTTAGAACATTCCTGCCAGCTCTCGGAGCATGAAGGCGGGCTACAATATAGCTGAGCTTTGTTTTTGACAATTCATTTCAAGGGTACTTCGACGCGTATTTTCATTATAATGCATCAGCCAGGCATATATTGCAGACGTCGATTTGATTAGCTTACCGGAAGAAAAGTTCGGTGCTACACATTGTAAGAAATTCTCTAGAATGTTTGTTACAAGTGATAGAAAGACTTGGCATGGTTGCACAAAAGTAGAATGGCTCAGGCACTACCAAAAAACAGATATTTTCAGTCTCGGTTCTAACTCCAAGAGTTTAGCTTGGGGGATGAGAGGGTCAGCAGTTGGTACTTTATTTATTTTGACATTTTTCAGTAACGCCACGTACTTTTATCCATAATGTTTGATTGATAAGCTGTTATTCGGGATGTGATCGTTAGCCTATTCACGCACAGATGATGGAATCTGATCATTTGAGAGGGTAAAATCTGAACAAGAAGCTCTGAGATAGGTAGAGAATCAATTTGATGTCAGCAAATGAGATCCACTCGTGTTATAAGACAGAAGTTGACTTCCATTAAGAATCACTTCTCAGTAGCATCATCGACGGAAACGAAAATTCAGTCCGGCGCTCGGCTCTTACAGTAACCCCTGGCTTACCCCACCACCCACCCCCGGAGAACGTCCGTTGCACGCGCCAGTCGAAAGCAGGTCACCGCGCCCACTTCGCGCGCGGCGCACCACACTGAGGTCCCGAGGTGACATTACAGGATCACCAAGTGTGAGTGGAGCGAAATACTTGCATTTGTTTGTGTTATCTTCTCTTTGAACTGACTGCCGTGGATCAAGCGTGGATCGCATGCCTCATTTACAATTGCGACGTCTGTCAAGTATCGCGGCCGACTCGCCGCGTGCGACGGCTACGGCGTGACCTGGCTTCGACGGACGTGCGCAACGAGGCGCACCCCCCACCCGTAAAAGTTACTGTAAGAGTCGAGTGGCGGACTGGATTTTCGTTTCTGTGTAGCATCGAAGGGACCCCTTTTTCCACCTTTATTGCTTGCTTATTAATTCACGTCTGCCAACAAGGGAACCGACTTTGGTGGGTCAACTGCACCTCAAATTTTGCTTCTCGGTAACAGTGAAAAAAATCTGTCATCTACCAATGTATATCAAATACGTAGCGGATGCAGTATGATAACTTCCTTTAGTTTCGCAGCAACGTAAGTTTTCCAGTTCCCCGTATGTTGACAGTCGGATCGTGTGGCTACCACCGGGCTCTCCTTTTATGGGTTTAACTTGATTTAATTTTTAATTTTATGGGCCTTAGGTAATCTATATTCCTCTACTTCTCCGTTTTTCTGCTAGAAGAAATGAGCATTGAGCATCCCCATATCAAGAAGTACATCGATACTGTAGTAATGATAAGATCAGATGACCACCATCGATACCATGAATTCTCACTAGATGAACGTCCGCCGCACCCCTTCAAGTTTGACCCTGTAGGTATGAGGGTAGCAAAGCTGTGAGTAAATGGTCAGTTACAGAACAGATCGACATAATTCGCTGTACCAGCCAGCGTCCGCACAGCGTAAATCCTAGCACATGTGAACGCTATATGTTTGAAGGGAGCGGAGCAGTAAAAAATAGGTGCACAATCTGGGGAAGCTTTCGATATGGATTGTCGTTTTGGATTTCAGCTCCGCCCACTTTGATGCCTTCTCGAGCTGCCATGTCTTCTCTACCTATACCAGCTTCTGTTCACTTTTTGTCCTTCTTGAGAGCGTTCCAAACGGAAGCGCACTTTTTCTGCCCTCACTCCTACCACTTCTGTACCCTGCTAAGCCAACATTAACTGTTGTGTTATCAACTTTTGCTATTTCCAACGTGTACTCCCATCTGCCCTGGCACTGCTTATTTTGTTCAAGTAATGCGGAGTTCAATTTAAAGCACAGTTCACGATAAAAATGATTTCTGGGCTTTCCCCATAGGATGAATTTGAGGCCTCCTCTTATACCATATTTGGCGCTATCATGTCGGAAAACGGCCTAGTTAGGTCGTTATGAAGGCTCAAAGACTGGCTCGTGTGTATCCTCTGAAAAGTTTCACCGGCATTGTAGAGGCTGCACAGATTACAAAGGAACTCAAGTAGGAAGTTCAAACAACTTGTCATGACCACCCCCGGGAGTGAAAGGCAGTTCTGAACTGTTCTGGCTTGATGTAATCAGCTCTTTGCCCAATTGCAACAACCGGAATACCCCTTCCATGCTATTTCCGTCATAATTATCTCGTCCAACCTCTAACTTCCCTACTTTTGAGGGCCTTATTTTTTCTCAAAATCAGCAAATTTCCTCGCTTTCTTCGCTACCAATGAACTATTACAAATCTATACTTCTCGACTACAAAGGAAAATGTAAAATTTATGATGAGTTGTAACTTTAAGTCACATGTTTTCAGGTAAGTTGGCTCATTCTTCTTCTTCTTCTTCTTCTTCTTCTCCCTAGCGTTAATCCCGCGCCGTCGCAGGGTCCGCTGTTCTTGTCAGCCGTCTCCATTTCATTCTATCTAAGGCATCTTCTGCCGTCACCTTGGCTTCGGCGAGGTCCTTCTTGATCACGTCCCGCCATCTCTTCTTTGGGGCTCCTCGTGGTCGCTTGCCTTGAGCCTCGAATTCCATTGCTTCCCTTACTGAATGGCTCTGTGGTCTTCTTAGTACNGAGGGCCTTATTTTTTCTCAAAATCAGCAAATTTCCTCGCTTTCTTCGCTACCAATGAACTATTCCAAATCTATACTTCTCGACTACAAAGGAAAATCTAAAATTTATGATGAGTTGTAACTTTAAGTCACATGTTTTCAGGTAAGTTGGCTCATTCTCTACTTGAAATTTGGCCAAACTTGACCGTATCTATCTTCGAGCACCCTCCCTACCTGAGAATATGAAGGAGCTGGAATGCTTATTCATTAGTCACTACAAGCCTTGCTTCAGCCTTACAAATTCAAATGCCTCAAGGGCTTGAGATCGGGAGATCGGATCGACGCCAAGTGACCTACTCCGTTTTTTCGTTTTTTTTTTCTAGTTTACTGCAGATGGCACCTTCGGGAATGGCAGTGCTCTGTTATGTCGATATAGAGTGTATTATGCATCCATTCAATGTTGTAATTGCATTGTAAAAAACAATTCGATTTGCGTCAACAATAAAATTTTGCATTCAACCAGAAATACAAAAAACCCGAAGGGAAATGTATCTATGATTAATGGGAAACACTTAATAGAAAGGAGTATACCTACAACAGGGACAATTAATTCCAGAGGCCTACGAAAGTTGGCGGATAAAGTAGCGGTCCACTCATACCATTAGATGGGACTTTTCTACCGTTTATTATCGGATCACCGAAAAATCAAGACAGTCTTGGCCAGAAAAACCGAAGAACGGTTTGTACCAGAAGAAGGATGAGAGAGGATTGTATAAAAATAATACTAAGCCAATTGCGGAAATGCCATCTTCGTCGAGGTCTAAACCTGCTCTGGTGCTTTCAGACTCCGTGTTCATCCATCAAACGTTTTGGTAAAGCTCTTACGGCTCTAGACTGTACTGTTTACTCGTAATCGACCCTACCACCTTCATATCAAATTGCAAGAAAGAATGGCAGTCTTTGGAACAAACAAACAAGTTAGCAAGTTAGTAAAGTTGTTGTGCAAAGTTGTTCAGCTGAGGCAACATATTTTGAATTCGGGTGGGGCAATGAAGAATAAAATCTAAGGAGAAGTGGTAGAAGAAGTTTTTGGCGTCAAGAAAACGTGAAGATTTTTTGGCGTCGAAAAAAGGGGAAATTGTTCAAGAAACGACCAGCTGAAGCTTTAAGATGATCAAAGGCGCGGTTCACGATTGTATTAGGGTATAGAGTTCTAGGCGAATGTCAGAATGGATAATCTAGAACAGAGCAAAGGGTACGTTCAGAAAAAAACAGGGTTCTAGATAAGTAGTAAACGAGGGTGTGACGACGAAAGTTACACGTAAGGGGTACTTAGAAGAGCTGTTCAATTTCATGCCATTGCATACAACTAACTACAGAGCTGGCTACCTGCGTGCAACGTTTGCGTTCCGGTGCGAACAGAGCAAACTCTACAGCCTCTACGACACAGGAGAACTCGTCCCCTCTGGAGTAGGTACCTCTACCAAGCTAGTGATGGAGCTTTTACCCCTCACCCTATCTATACCATTACTCGTCCTTTGTCGGAGAACTTGGCACGTGCACGTCGGCTAAGCCGATTTTCGGGGCCTCGGGCCGTTTTTTTTTCGAAAACGATTCTTGTGTTATACTTGGGGGTCGCAAGTTCATCACGGGGAGTATTTTCCGAAACTATGTTCTATCATGAAAAGCGCCCTGAATGATAAATAGCTGAACTTCACGCCGACGTAAGGCTCTGATTGGAGACCAAATAACCATCTAAACTGTTGTAGACATTCTAGACAACGTTTGAATTTATTCAAATCGTTGATGTGACATTCTCATCAGACTTGGAATCTGCACATATCAGTATTTACCAAGTTACAGTATCACAAAAAACTACTATGTATAGCAATTACCATTGAGACTAGTACACAATTGCAATGGAACATTCCTTTTTATGTAATTGTACATTTTAGAAACATTTTTATTAGTTTTTTTCGATCTGGTTGATACTTTTTGTTGATATTCACTATTATACTAATATTGAAAGAACGAAAAAACGCGTATATTTGAGGTATGAACAGTTTCGTACAGATCGCCCGATTAGTTTCCCATGAGCGCCGTTGTGAGATCCGATCGTGCGGTGTGTGGATGATCATAGTTTGAGTCTGGCTAAGTAGTAATTAGCGTCACTGCCCATAAGCAGGTTTCCTTGGCCGTCTTCGATAGCCGTCGATACATCAGAAACACGTCCAGATGGATCATGAAGAGACTCTATGATTTTGCCTGTTTCCGAATCCACCTGAAGTCAAGTTTTTTTAGAAAAAGATAGGATATTTACGTATTATCAAACAGCTTTCACCTTCAGAACTAGACCATATTTGTTGGCCATCCATTCTGCAACTATGTGGACCATTTGGGGTGACAACAGCTGGAAAGCAGAGTTTTCTATTAGAATTGGGGGCCACTCCAAATTTGCCATCAAACCTTCGTCATAAGCGAACGTAGTGACGGTCTAGCTGCCAGCCAGTTGTCTGCTTCTGATCTGGTAGCAGCAATTGGAACCCAAAGAGAACCATCTCTGGCTCGCCGGATGTTATCGGGATAACCGGGGAGGTTGTCAACGAAGACGCTCAGGTTCCCAGACGATGGAGAGAACCTGAAGATTACGCATTACTTCCTGTATGCAAGGAAACCTTGTAAGTAGATGAAAAAATGTTGACCTGAGGATTCTGGCTTTTCCCATTTCCGCTATGAAAACCTTCCCACGAATCGCCTCAATACCGTTTGGGAAGTACAAGTCGCCTTTCAGTACTTTGAGTTCTTCTGTTTCAGGGTTGTAGGCCAATATCCTAAACAATATTCAAGTAAATGCAATGAGCAAAAGTTTGAGCCATTTCTATGCTAGGAACGATCCACTCTTCAAAAACAATCGCGAGGTTTCACTAGGAAGTTCAAGGAAGTCATGATCAGATGAGCACAAAGCCGGTAAAGATAGAAGGTGGAGACTAGGATGCCTTTCTGAAACCTGGTTCCGGTCCGTTGTTTTTGAATGAGAATTCTGGAGCTGCCATTCGAAAAGAATGGTTTGAATGCTCAGAAAGTCGAGAGTTACGTCAATAGTAACGATAAAGTACACAGGTACATAGCGTCACTGCTACGTATACAAAGACATTTACACTTATTTATATAATTATTTCTAGACTTTGCTGAGTCTAGAATAATACAAGGTAGAAAATAACAACCCGCTACCGGGATTATAAAGGAACTGAAGGAGATGCTTATTCTCAATGATAAACAGTACAGAGAAGAGCCCTATTAGGCGGTTGCCACATAAGTTGGCCATGGTGCCCCACTCCATGAGCAGTCATAGGCAAGGTGAGGATCATGGGGAACTTCGGCACAAGGTGCCAACTTTTCGCGTAGAACCGACTTCGGTGCAATTGGCTGATTGGTGAGAAATAAGCGCTTGGGTCTGACATAACGCTAAATAGGAAATATGAGGAAAGGCAGAGCTCAAGCTCGTCTGTACAAGAGTGGGTACTATTTCGAACAAGTCTGACTAATTGAAACGAAACGAAGAAATAAAATCAATCTGTATAACATGAGTGCGGATTCGGTGTAGTGGCAAGTGGCGCACTATCACACATGCATGGTCACGGATTCGAAACCCAAATCGTTGTACGTTAGGTCAACCTGGCCTGATCCTGGTCAGCTGATAATTAGCTCAAGACTCGTCTGGGAGGTCAAAAACGCCGACTTCTACATCGGCTTTCCAGCCTATGTCATTGTGTATGCCAATGCGGATTCGATACGTCACTAGGATGTGAATGGAGTCGAATGCAGGGCACTAAGACGGGACTGATCAACGCTCAGAAACTTTTTTTATGACGACCATGGCGCACTCCAAAAAATCGACACACTCCGAAAAGTCAAAAATCAGTCAAAATCACCTCTACCATCGTGGTAGAAGTCATAACTACTCATATGCATACACAGATTATTGCAATATGCACTGTGCAGTGCAGTATGTCTTCGAATTGTCTTACCTCCCATTCGGTCTGTGCTCCAAGAGATCGTAGATAAAATCACGGTCATCGAATTTGGTACTGGATTCCGAAATGACCAAGTTACCATCAGGTAAGAAATCGAAGTCATTCAGATATCTGAATAGAAAGACGATGAGGAATATAACAACAGCAGGGGTGACAGTACAGCTCAGGAAGTGGTAACGAACCTAGTTGGAATGGCGCTGTCGTCATTGGTAATCGCTGCACCACCGGCAAAGTACTGGCGCACCTTCTCTGGAATATTCTACTATTGTATTTCGCAAAACGGTTTTCTTTTGAATTTCTCCCAGTCCTAGCGAGGAGGATGAAAGGGCAAGGTGGCCTGAGCTCTGTGCAGCTCAACATAACCGAGCCACAGAACGATGTAACCAACCTGTCTCCCAGTTTATCGAGAACAATCCAAGATAGGCGTCTAGTACATAAAGTTCGCCTGTTAGAGGATGCAGCCTAGAACAGCTAGGCTAAAGAGCACTTCTTGAGGTGTCTTTAATTGTTAACACAACTGAAAACATTTCAGTGACCGTTCAATTAGACAGTATAATTACGGGATTATCTATGGGATTATCTCGATTTTAGAAGGGAATAGTCCTTTCTATCAAGTATGAGATTGAATGCTACAAATTTCTTATAAAGTTGCTCCACCGTTTCCAAAAAGAAAAAATAGTGACACCTACCGCATGCCTAATGGTCGTCCACACCTCGTCATCGAATGATAAGATCCATCACAGCCTTCCAGCGAAGTGAGCCGGACAGCCCGTAAAATCTTCATCTACAATCATCACGATCTTTGTCAGTCACATAGGGCCTGATATGGGACTGGACACTCATGCCACAGGTGCGAGAGCTTGTATGCGATTGAAAAAGTGGGGAAACAACTCTGTTATCATCAACCACAGTCACCTCTCGGGAGCTCCATCGCACTTTGGCTCGAATAAAATAATCGAAAAAAGAACTGCTCAAAGCAACGTCGTATACGCCGAACTCGAATACAGCAGTCTCCGAAGCCGAACCAACAGCAATTAAGGGTTCCTTGGCTGTTTATAAATTCGACTAATAACCTTTATGGAGCTAACGAATGCATCTGAATCGAAATGATCGCTTTTCGGACAGAATGGCGTCACGCAAGAAGGATTGCAGAAGATGAAGCAGGAGCAGCGCAGTGAATAAGGAACACAGGGCCAAAGAAGTAACAGTAGAAGCATTACAAAAATATTAACCGCTTAGCGATCGAACTGTAAGGAGAGCTCTAGAACTGCAATAACGAGACAACTAGCCCGCGACTGCCGCGGGCGGTGTAAGGATTACGCGAAACCGATTTAACTGCCCGTCTCCCTCGGAGAAGCCTTCGTTCCTTCCACACTCCTGATGCAAGTTTTTTTGTGAGGCCAATCGATTAATTATGTCGAAAGAATCAAAAGCACCTATTACCCTTGACAACTTCATTTTGCTGTCAGGTTCACAAAGGAAACGAACCTTCTTGTCGAGGTCAATCTCACAGATTAGGCCAGTTTTCAAGCCTGTGTAGACCATTCCGGTCTTCTGATTAACGGCTATCGACTCTGGTCCATAAATCTGATCTTCTAGGAGGAGCTCTGCCTTCTCTAGTCGCTTGTTTGGTAAAAGCTCGTTCTCAAAAGGAAGGGGTGGATGTAACCTGAAAGAATGGTGACCAGTTTCACGTGCCTTACCTAATTTCTACTACCCTGACTATTGACTGTTACTCACTAATTCGATACCATGAGTTTTGCTTACCTGAATTCCACGGGATCAATAGGACTCGTAACGAACAGGTGAGTGCAAGCAACAGCGATTGCCACTGAAGCAATAACAACCGACAGGATCAGAAGTGGTCTGCTTGTGGCTGATTTATCAGGCTGAAATAGAGAATTTGTTATTTTGATCTACTTTTTAATTGAAAAGATACGACAGTGTTCAAAAAATAAGTATAAGGTGTTTTACGGTTCGAGGATAAGGTTTTGACCAATCCTATTTTTGAGAGGCGCCTCGCATTCGATTCTCATTCAGAATTGCAATGGTAGGTAAATGCGTATGTGGCTTATTCATCAAGGCTTGGTTGGCCTGGGCGAGTACCGATCATATGAGCATAGCTCTGGTTTCGATATCCAGACCATGCTTATGTGATAAAGCGCCACTTGCCACTACACCACCTCTGGGAAAAATGTGCAACAAAAAACTATAAAACTGGAAGTAAAAAGTTTTCAAAAAGTGGAAAACATTGGAATTGGAATTCAAATTCTCACAAAACTCGACAGGAAGTTAAATAGAGCCCCATATTTTGAGAAGAAGTGATCTACAAAGAAACTTTTTGTGGAGTTTCATCTATGCAGAGCGAAAAATTTCGCTCTGCTTGGCAATTGTGAGTCATAATTCTGAAGAGGCATTTAACTCCTAATGATTCCGTTAAACTGATTACTTTTGGCAGTTATTAGTAGCCATTAGCAGTCCTTTTTCGAGAAGTAACTCCATTCCTATGGGATACAGAGCAAATATAGTTGGATTTTCGGTTTCTTGGCAGAAAACAATCGATAAACCTACAAACAGCACGATGGAAATGAAAACATTGAGGAACATACCCCGTTTTTGGGCACAGCTTTCACCTTAGACCGATCAACGGCTGGTCTAACCATTGGTGAGTGAAGAGACCTCTCTAAAACATTTACTGTGCTGTCAAACCACTTGGAATTATAGGTAACACATCAATATTGAAACGAGCATCCAATCGCAAGGAGGCAATGGTTGAAGAAGGGGAAATGTTTGTTCACATTGTGAGTCGGATAGGTCAGGCCATACATGTTTGCCTAGTCGAATCAGTACAGCTTCGCGCTCTGGCCTCGAGAACTCGAATTTTTTGAGAAAGAAAAGAGGAGCCACAGTTAACAAAATGATGCATCAGCCTCATCTTTTCTAGATCAAGGGGCAGTTTGAGGTTTTTTTCATCACGTCTTTTTTTGTGATTTCTTCGACGGGTTCTGGAGCCAGTATTTTTTCCATTAAAATGAGCAATGAGAATAAAATCTCGCACTTTCTTCTAATGAACTGTCTGAAAAGATTCCTTTCCCTACTTTTTCTCTCCATATATCATGTTTTGCTTTTTAATTATTGGACTTCGCATACATAGCTCTCAAATTCGGGAGAAACGACGTGGTGCGATGGATGCAGCCTTTCTTTGTTCCGACCATTGCCATCCTCGAGTAAGGCCTGAAACCAAAAAAGGTGACACCTACTTCCTCTTTGAAGTTGGTTTGTGCTCTAGATTGAACCGGAGTTTGTGGCTCTTGTGCAGACTGGGTTATCGCTATTACCAGTAATATAGATTCTTTCATCAATCAATGTGTTCCATTGCTTCTCATACCTCGGGAATACGATATCAGCGAGTTGATCGTCTGGGACAAAGTTCCCAACATCCTTACAATCGACCACAACTTCTGCCATTACTCTACTACACAATTTTACACAAAGGTTTTCAGGCTGACCAATGAGCTAATAAGCAAACTTCCGAATCAAAATCATTGACATGCTAGCACGGCGGACATTGTAATACCAGTGAACCCCTTTCAATCCAAAATAGGATAGCCTCTTCTGCGAGTAATCAATCCCACTTCTTGAACTATATCCCCACCGACTTCTATCTAGAATCGTAGATAAACCTCTGAATGCATATTTAGCCAATTCGATGGCTTGGTAACAGTAGCCAGCCAGTGTTGAAGTCGGTCAACTTCTATTCTTCTAGACAAGTTTTGTACAGATTAGCCGACTTCGGAGCTCCGGAATCAATCTCCGTACGGCGCGTACGCTAGTGTACTCAGTGACGCTACACCGACTTCCACCTGATCTTTCCACTTGTAAGAAAATTGAGATGAAATATAAATTGTTCACATAAAGTTACTCGAGGTTTCTTCATATCTAGTTAACGACTGGCTGCAACACAAGGTGTTGCACTCGAACGGTAAACTTAACAGGAGCTTCTGCTGAAGCTCAAACCTGCCAGAAGTTAACAATGTTGCTCTGGGATACGTGGTTTTTCCTTTAGCAAAAGAATCAAAGCCGTCAGTAAGTTAGAAGAAAGGGTTCGGAACTTATCGAGTTCAAATTCTTTATCCCAATTGATAATTCCCTCTCGCAAAAAAGGGAAATCGGGACCACATCTTTCAGCGGCTCATCACAAAGCACAGTCCCCACGCGTATCACAATCTCCGAGTCGTTTGGACACTTTGTGACAGCTGATAAACAGACAGGTAGCAACTTTCCTGGAAAGGCACGCTACGACCGAAAAAACGAACTTTGAACTTTCCGTTCAAAAAGTTAGTCAATCGCTTTATTCTAGTTCACTTTGAAATTGCGGTCTATCTAATAAATTCACAGTGACAGTTGGTTATCGGAACACACCTCCTCACCATGATGAAAATTACCCGCCTGGCTGATATGGCTACCGAGAACATAAATGAATATCGAGTCGTCATTGCCAAAAGTCTCATCAGTGGATCACATAACCACACGCTACTCCTTTGTTATCCACGTGTTTTTCATATTGCATCCTTCCAGAGGAGTATATCTGCTGTCCGTTCTGCGCGCCCTCCCTACACGTTCAAACGTTCAGATGCTCACTTTACACCCGACCGAATGAAATTTAACTCTGTTAGTCCTAGACTCCATCAGCCAAACAGAAATAGTTGGATAAGAATGTACTATCCAAGGTTCAAGAACTGAGCGGTAGATATTCTGGAATTGGTAGGGCTACCTTAAGAGAAGACCGCTCCTTACCTGTGACTGACTATGAAGTGTTGCACCCACTCAGTCACGCCATCTAGCTAACCAGAACTGGCAGTTCTCAACAAAGTGGCAGAAGAAAAAATGTAGAAGAAATAGTAGTGATTAGCCAGCAGTGACACTGAATCCTTCAAACTTTGTCCTGCATCAGGACCATGCAGGAAAGCACGCAGACGGATGGTGAAGGACAAAGTTTGAGGAATTCATTGTCGGTGTAGGGCTTCCTTCTTGGTAAAATCGCTTCCTCTCGATTTGAGAGCTTCACCTCATAACCTCTCCGTAATGATTATGACATTCCTGATGTAATCGAGTAATACTTGTCATATGCCAGTCAACACCTTTGTTGGTCTCGGAACTCTGAGTTCTGAAATACACGTTTCTTTCTCAATCTTCTTTCACTGGACAACTAGCCATTCTGATGGAAAATGTTCCGGGTAAGGTGTAGTCGTTTTATGAAACAATTAATCGTCCAAACTTTATAGGCCACGCCTCATAAGTTGACAGAAACAATAGCACCACCCTATACATACGAGGTAGAGAAAATGCAATGATTGATGCGATACTCCGTCAAATTTCAAGATCAGAGCAAAGTTTGAACGTCCATTCAATTATGACAGTAGATTTTTCATTATAGTAATTACAGCATCATCAAATTAATACAGCTCATGTTAAAGATGATCCCAGTATCAATCGAACAACATCGAAGGAATGAAAGAGTTGATCGATTTTGCTCAAAAGAGTACAAGGGCAATGAGGTGGCTTTAGCTACCACACAATCTTTGTCCTAAAGGCAAAGGGCCTGATAGCTTGGCAGTTAAAGAAAATAAACGGTGTGAAACTCGATTGTGTGGGTACATTCTATGAATTGCAAGTGGTCCCATTAAAATCTACCGGAAAATTAAGCGTGTACCGGTGTTTTTTGTTTTCCTTTCCACTATTTTTGCACTCTCATGTTACTCATTCAAATCTATATTAGTATAGCCATTTGAAAGCGGAACTTCAGTCAGACGGCGTGGTCCCTACCCTTTTTTGGTTCATGTTTTAGTCTGACAGCATTTTTTGCAAAGTAAACCTCCCCATTCCATGTTCGTTCTACCTCATGTACCCCACTAAGACTGTCCTTTGCTTTCGGTCTGTTTACAGATTTACTTACTTATTTATATTTGTTTTGGAGCGGATTAATTAATATAAGTTATCGGAATGGGCGGGGGTGGTATGGTAGCAAGTGGCACACTACATCACACGCACGGTCAGGGGTTCAAATCCCGGATCGATGCCCGCCTAGGCCAACCAAGCCTTCCATCCCTCCGGGGTCGGTGGATTGGTACCAGACTCGTCTGGGAGGATAAGAGCACTGACTTCAACATAGGCTGGCCACCGCAAGTCATTGTATAGGCCACATACGCACTCATCACGCCACTACGACTGTGAATGGAAGTCGAGTGCGGGGCGCATCCCTTAGACGGGATTGATTAACGCGAAAAACTTTATCCTCTATCCTTTGAGTTATTGGAAATGCATTACCAACTTCACAAAACTTTTTGAACCATCGCAGAGATTTGCATTGCAACTGCAGTGCAATTTGAAATTCATGTATTCGGAAACCAGGTTGAGCCCCAAACCAACAGTGATGTTATACATGCAGAGCATGTGTTAAGTATTACTCGAGTAATTGAAGATCTCACAATCGTTACGGAGATTTTCTGATTGTGTGATGGAGTTCCTATACCGCGAGGAAGTGTATTTTACCAAGGAGGAAGCCCTAATATAACAGAAGAGAGGACATTTGGATGGTTGTTTTTTGAAGTTATATGAGCGATTAAAGTGCTGGCGACAAAGAAATTGTTGAGGAATTTATGGGCTTCAAAGAAGACAAACTCCCTACTTAACGGTATGGCTGAAATAAGTAATTGAAAGGTAAGGGAATTACATTTAAGCATTACAAAAGTATAAAGCAAAGAAATGAGTTGAGAGAAATAGTGAAAAGGATTGAAATAGGCGATATGTATAAACTAAATAGGCATCGACGGCACAGCCGTCGAGAACGAAGGCTGATAGAGGGCAATTATGACCTACAAGGAAAGTGAGCACCAATACAAATATACTGCAAATCTTGAGTAGTGAGTAGGAGATATTTCTGGAAATCTGGGGAAAGACTGTTGTTTACATACAAATTAATTGTTCCTTTAATTCACCAGTTTCAGAAAAAAAGAAACACAAGCGAAGCTAAGCTCCCCATCAACTGTTTGCTGCTCAGTAGCTTAAATATTACCTTCTTGTCAGTGAGTATTAGGTTCTTTGCAGCTCTTCACGAATACCATGCCCCATTTCAATCGAGTACGTCACGCTCTTTGAGTTCAGTGTATGAATAGGTACAGGTTAAGGGTGGGTGTGGTGCGTTAGGAACGAAATGGTCGCGTCGCGGTGAGTGGGGCGTCGCGCGCGAAGGAATGTAGCAGGATGCAGCCGTAGGTAAGAAATACAAGAACAAAAACACTAATAGTAGAATTATGCATAAAATAACGATCGCATATCGAAGGAGCTGTATGAAGAACGCTAGAGCCGTAATAACGACTAATGAGTGGTCCGCGACAGCCGCGTGCGGCAAATCGATTACCCAAAATCGTTCCTAACGCCCGTCTCCCGTTAAGGGTGGAGGACTTCCACTGCAGCACATAGCAGCAATACATATCCTTCAAATACTTCTGAGTCTTTACTCGAGGTCCCTTCAATATACTTCCTCTGAAAGACAAATGGGTGCTGTGGAGGGGAAAATAATCACTGACCAATCAAGGGCTTATAAAGTTGGTTCTTTGTTATTTATGGCATTATTAATGGCAAGAAATCATGCCTTTCTCCTTACAGATTCGTTTATCGACTGGCCCACACACAAATACGCATTCAATGAGCTACTTCATTATTCGTTATTGATACTCATCGATACATCTACCCACATATACTTTCCTGAAAATTAGCTAACATCCCGGAGGAAATGTCTAGCTGATCCAATCCGCTGACTACTTTGTAACATGGTGGAGGCGGGTCAGATCATAGAATGGTTGCAGTTCCCAAACGGAAACCATTCTATTTGACGTACATTGCAGTAGAGTTGAGAAGAAAAACGTATATTTGGAAAAAGTACAGAAAAGACAAGTAGAAAAGGCTTTTACAAACGAACATCGAGAGAAAAATGCCAAGCAGATCATAATAATCTATCTGGATCTAGAAGTCTTTGTAGCCTTTGCCTGGGATTCCAAAAAGTGAGGCAGATTAAGCACAGTTGCACAATGCTCCACTGAAATCACCCATGGACTTTATCAAGTGTGGGAAAAGATTTTACAGCAGTCAGAATTACACTACGAGTTATTCGTGAATAATCCTCCCGAACATGCACCCGTCATAAGCTCCCGCAGCGTGAGCGGCGTGACCCCAATAACCCACTATGGATACACCCGTACATAAACCCATCTTGACTATGACGATCGCGCAATAGCTTAACGGATATCGTCGAAATCGCTCTTGATGATGCTCTGTTTGGGGCGACTGAAAATGGCCTGTAGTATAGTAGCGGAACTGTTTATAGAGAAAAGCAATGAGTTACATCAGGTCTACCGCAAGGTGCTATGAAACTTCCTTCCAATCTACTCCCTGAATCCGCTGACAATTAGAGGAATGGCTAATTTCGCATGCCCAATAGGCACCGATTCCTCCGGTTCATGGTTAAATTTTTGAAAATCGGTCAAAAATTAATGATAGAAGAGGTGTTTCATATAAAAAAAATGTTCTTGACAGATTTTGATCCAACAATGGCTTGGAAAGTGCTGACCAAAGATGGTATCTCGGCATTGTGCTCTTCTCAACATTTTTGAAAGCACAAAAGACTTCATTACGTACAGGTGGGCTACGAAACAACTCGGCCAATTAATCTTTAATGAGGTTGAATCCACGGATGTGGATAGTAAGCATGCATACTCTGGGAGCGAATGTACGAGTTGATGCCATTCTGTAGGTGGGGCATCATACTCGATGACCGTTCTATGCGATGTATCACACGCTTTGCATCCCATTTGCAGGTATACCGGTTTTTATAGCGCGCCGCCCAGAGCAGAAGCGTGATACCTTCAGACTGTTCGAATCCCTTTCCAAATTCTTTTCAATTTACTGATTAGCCACAGAGACGAGTTAAAGTAATGACGCACTGGTAGGAGCGATTGATGTGAACTTCTCCTCCATTACCTCGCCCGAATGGCTGAGGTCGCAGAGCGATAGGGTCAGGGTATGTTGATAGATAGTAGCGAGACCACAGTCCATCTCCCTCCAACCATGGCCTCCCATACTGGGTTCGTTAAACTTAATCGATGTTGGTGGAAGGTGAGTACGGTGACTCGAAGATCCCTTCACTCCCAGAAACCATTTCTGGCCAATTCCATTGCCATTAAAGTTCCGACTGAAAGTAAGGACTCGAATGCATTCCATGGGTACTAGTAAGGTCAAACAGCATTCATTTGCTGCAAATTTACAATTATACAAGGGTAACCCCTCACTTTCGTTTCCGTCCTCTAGCAACTATTGAGATCACTTTTCATACCATAAGAGAGCCATTGGTTGGACCTAAAGTTGTTTAACAACGCCGGATAAGGGCCAATAATGGCCGCCTTTTTATGTCAGCACGACTAGGCAGAAATCACAACAAAACGGAGGTGTCGTGGCGAATGATTCGGGAAAGATTACGGTGGAAAGAGTTGCCGTTCTGGCCGAATTTCGATGCCGAAGGCTTGGTAGAACCCTTTCGCTTCCGATTGTTTCGCTAGGCTCTATGAGAGGAATTCTCCCAAGCTGAGCTCCATCTTCTCCGAGTCTCGAGCGTGAGAATGGCAACAAGAGAGGTCTTTTAATCAATCGGACGGTCGACCGAAGCGCTGCTATCAGCCGGTATTGAGAAGACGTTCGCTCTATCGATCATTACACTGTAACATTCCATTCCTGGTGCTGTTGTCAACTTGCTATTGATATCCTGCATACGTTCGCCCTGTCCTAAAGATACAGATCAAGGCGTCCGAACGGCTAGCCTACCCTCTGTTACCTCTCGGCTTGACGCCCTGTCTAGTAGCTATTGCGTTCCTAAGGCAAACTACTCGCCCTTTCGATGTGCTCCCTCAGACAGTTAATGAGATATGGCGTATCTACCAGCGTAAGATTGATCCGTCGCGGGCCACCAACTGTGCGGTCCCTTCAGATAGGGCGTCATCGTCCTTACGAAATCTTGAACAGTTTTTGTTATTCGAGTGTCGTGACTGATTATGTTGTTTTGCTAGACCGGAACTGAACTTTATGCCACATCTGGTTGATCAATAATTCATCAATCAATGAGAGGAATAACCTTTTTATCTCTCTCGCCTTTTCTCAAGGATATGACGGCTGATATCGGCACAGCGCAATGCAAACATCGACAACAACAATATCTGATAGTTCTCTGACCGACACTGCTGCCGCCACTCGTTCCTTCCAAATCATTCAGCCTTCTTCTTACCGCAATCTCTTGTCATTTCCAACCGTCCTTCTTGATATGGGTGCTGACCTCTTTCCATTAGTCCTGCACGTCACTTTCTAGTCCTGCACGTCACTTTCGAAACATGATTTCGCTCCTTCACCCCTGCTACTTTCCATCTCCATTCGTTTCCATCCTATTCTTCCCATGGGAGTAAAGGGCACCGTTGATTTGGAGAATTCTATTGATGAAGTACTTCCTTCTTCTGTTCACAGCATCATTTTATCATATGGGAATCGTATTGTAGACCATCTGTAGATATCAGTATTTCTCGAAGTTTCATAAAAGATAAAATTAGATTTCAAATCGAGTCGCATTCAGGCTTGATTCTTTTCGCTCCCATGATTGACGCAGGACTTTCGATCTAATAAATCATACTTATCATCTCGGTTACTGTAGTTTCTTTGGAGTCATACATTGTGCTAACTTATGCATTGAATTGTTCTGTACTGAATTTTCCTACCGAGTTATGCAATTTAACTACAGAGTGTTTCTGCTTTTCCTGGTCCTCGTGTCAAGAAATTGCCTTGTCTGGTATCCCTGCTACTTTCTCTACCTATGACAATAATCTATGAATTTCACAACCTTCAGATGATTGTACAAACTTTACTCTTCATCCATCTAGCTTAATATGGTAGTGCAGCGGCTTCTGTTCAGCCACAGAATCTTTCAAATTAGCTCTATTATACAGATTTCTTTATCACTTATCATAATAATTGGACACAAATATTGAGATCTATCTTGTTTTTGCCGTTGTTGGTGCCCAATTTCAGCCCCGTTTGTATAGTTCACATTATCAGAATCAATTCGTTCTTGGTTAGCCTTTTTCCATGAACCAATGGGAGTGCAATGAGTAGTCGTTCAGTTTTTACCTCATCACATGATGGACAGGTCTTCATAGGGTTAGCAGAACACGGTTCATTCGTCACCTGATTGCCTTTGTTTTATTATCAAGCATCACTTCATATTCATAATTGTTTTCGTCACGCATCGCGAGAGACCACGACTACCCATTACACATCTTACTGTTATACAGATTTGATTATCTTTTTTTCATTTTGTCTCCGGTTATAGTCGCTATTGCAGGTACCACTCCAAGTGCCGTCAGATCGTTCGTTGGTTCGTTCGTTCGCGCTCATTTGTGGCGTCAAAAGCCTTGAGGCGCCGAGTTAGCCCTAGTTCAACGACTGGACATCCTCTAGCCACCTCGCTGATTCCTCAGGTTTCAGCTCGTTGCTTGACCAGATCTCTCAGCATGATGCTTTGACGGTTTTTTGGCAGAACCGAAATCGCGACTTCTGTATCTCTTCTGAACTCAACGGCCAATGCTACCCAACGAGCAGTTCCAGAAACTGCTTTATGACCTGTTTTGCCTATGGCATGGCGTTCAACGGCACTATGATCCGCCGTTCACCGATACCGAGGAGCAACGACTTGCTAAGGTAGTTTTTCTCTAAAACAAATAGTTGTGGTTAAAGTGAGCATGACTCTTCACCATTTTTGGAGAGCTTGCTTGTATGGTGTAAGCGATCTGACCACGCTGTTAAAACTATTTCAGTAGCAGTTAAGAGTTGGAGAGGAGAAAAAAAAAGTAGCTTTGTTCGTGGAATATGTTAAGCCAAACTTTCTACCTAAGATCGCATGTCGAAAAAAGCTTAGGATTTGGCTAATCAAGATTGATATCCATCGCATGTGTGCTCTTGTTAGTTAACAGGGAGCCTAAGCACTAAACAGGAATCATTCCTCACCCGTCTTGAAGTTGGAGCCCTGCCTGTTAGATCACATGAATTCATTGCCACAGAGTGTGAAGCTGACTTATCTTCACTTTCACTTAGAATTTGACTATACTGTACTTCAGTATAGTAGTTCAATAGTGCTGATTATTACTAATTGTTAGGTGAAAACGATGATATGTAAATTGCTTACGGAGATCGATGGCCGTGTATTGCGCATTCAACAGAACCAATCAGGTGGAATGAAGGGACAGGTGAGTACAGGATGTCTTTCATTTTTGTTCTCAAGCTGTTTCCATCCCAAAGAAATTCGCTGAAAATGGGTTCCTTTGTATATAGTAGTAGAAATCGTCATCTACCACAGTATTCGATTCCAACAAGTGATTGTCTTAAATAATTGACTCACAAAATCAGATACACCTTTACTAACGATTCCTTCTGACCCCTAGATAAGGTGTTACATGTATCTCCAACCACCCTGTCCAAGGAGGCCCAGCTCATTGACCCACGGTAAAGGTCACTCAGTTCAATCTTCTGTATAAAAGGTTTGGTGTTAATCAATCCCGTTTTCAAGATTTTCCTTGACCCCAGAGATTCAAAGTATAGTAGCGTGTTGAATGCCTATGTGGCCCATACAATGACTTGCGGTGGTCGGCTGATGTGCAAGTCAATGCTTCCTATCCTCCTAAGGTGGCCCGCTACCTGTTAACCGACTCCGGAATTGTAGAAGGCTTGGTTGGCCAGATGTTGAGAGACCATGCGTGCGTGATAAAGCACTTCTTACACTACCTTTGCCTGGGATGCGTGCGATGTTATCGTCGAGATGAGGTCACAATGAGGCGCGCAACGCATTGCCATTGAAAACTGGAGCCAAAATTCAACCTAATCGATCACAGCAACCGAGAGCGCTTTTTCTTGATCAAAGTCACATTTTCATAGGGAAATAAGGAAAAATTCTCGGGGTTAAAAGTGTAAGTAACATGTCTGAAGAATGAACTTCCATTCGAACTGAAAAAGTGGAAGAAAAAAATCTACATTCTCAGTAGGGGACCCAGATCTTTTGTCAGAAGGGAAACCAAGTCTTTTGAATTCCCACTACGGTGGTGTTGTTGCATACACACGACGAAAGGTGTAAATCTTATTAGCAATGGATTTCGGGTGATTGCGACATGACCCCTTTATCCCGACGATAGACACAGGGCAGCCCCACACCCGGCGTAACTGAACTGGGGGAAATTTCAATATGTTTGCAAGTAAAAAACTCTTTTATCAAGAGCTCAGGACTTTGTTTTCAGGATTTTTACGAAGAATGGACAATGTTAACATGGAACGTACTATGTATAACTAGTCGTCTGCAGAGTAATCTGAGTACTCAAAATGTCATCTCCAATGATGATAAGGTTATCTACCAACGATTAAATCAAGCTCTCGTCGAACTTGTAAACTATTCTAAGTATGTTTTTTTTTCTGCATTCGTTTGTTGGATTTTGCTGTACAAGTGCACTTTCAGTGTGAACATGCCTTTCATGGGCTATTATCAGGACTCCGATTTCGAAGTACTACGTCAGAATACAGAAAGGACATTACAAGAGCTTTACATGCTCACAAGGTGCTCTTTAAAGATAACGTTTATAAGAAGTTTCATGTAGTTTCTTCATACAAAAAGGGGGTAGGATGTCGTAACTGCATAGTAAGGCTAAGAGCCCTTTATGTTGATTAGTTCCCCATTGGGATGTGCCACCTACACTCCCTCCCACCTCNTCCACTGAAATCACCCATGGACTTTATCAAGTGTGGGAGAAGATTTTACAGCAATCAGAATTACACTACGAGTTATTCACGAATAATCCTCCCGAACTTGCACCTGTCATAAGCTCCCGCAGCGTGAGCGGCGTGACCCCAATNCATTCAACTTCTATTCAAGATGGTAGTGGCGTTTAAAAGCGCTGATGTACAGGTCAGTTTTTACCCTCCCAGACTAGTCTGGTACCAATTAACCATCACCGGCGGCATGGCGGGATGGAAGGCTTTCCTGGCCAGGGTAGGTATCGGCTAGCTCGCCCCAAAGGGAAGATGTTCGAGATTGCTCTCGTCGTGCCCACTTGTATGGATGCTATCTAAACATTTTGCACCGTAGACCTTTAGACACTTTAGACATCGACATGGTTTGACTCCCCATTCACCAGGTAACTCTTTTTTGTTAGATTGCAATAATGCCCATGTGCAACTGCTTCTGAAACTCGGAGAATGACTCCTTTCAAGGTTTCCTTCGATCAATGTTCAACTGAACTCTTTTCTTCAGACGGCTCACCATGGCGCCTTTTCTCAATCCAGCCGAAATCGAAGCCTTCCGTCATGAGTGCCAAGAGTTCGGAGAGCGATTTTTAGGGCCATGCATTGACCATATGAAGGTGAGCAGATCGAGTAGGATATATCGGTTTCATGAGATAATAAGCAGCTACTGCAGGCGTTTTGCAACACTCACAGTGTAGCCCGATGGCGAGACGTAAGGGCTGCTCAGATAGTTCGAATGCGTGAACAGGGCAGCCACCTGGACGAATCGGTTACAAATCTTGTAGCCTTTTACTCCATAATGATGTACATTCTGGCTGTACTGGCTGCTCGACTACAGGTATACACCAATTAACCGCTGTTCAATCACTTGAAGAACTGCTTCGTTCAGGGTCTTCGCTATGAGATCACTATTGTCAAGAAGGCCTACGATTTGGATGAGCAGGTCAAAATGCTTTCACAAGTGGTGTTTGGAGCTTTGGAGTTGTTGATGAGNGATTGTGTTCTGGCTACGGAACCGTCCACCACCGCTATTCTAGTCACCAACAATCTCTTCAGGTGAGCGTTGAGATTGCACCCGATTTTGGAAAGTTAAAATTTCTCTTGAAAGATGGGTTTCAGCATGAACTGCGGTGCGCTGGCCAGAGGAGTCGTTTTCAAGGATTTTGAAATCCAAGTTGTCTCAGAAGAGACCGCCGAATTTATTCAGGTCAATTTGACGTTCTAAAAGTTGTTTCTGTAATCAAAGTGAAATTAAGTCTTGGAATTTATTTTGTACTTTCTTTCAGTCTGAAATGAATCGCGCTCGACTTCTGCAGCAACCGAATCAAATCTCTCAACCTCCATCAGCTGCTCTGTTGGCAATGAAACCCACTTCGGGCACGAAAAGAAGTAATGCTGTCAGCAACGGAGGTAGCATTCTGTTCTTTTGAACTGCTACATCGTATAAGTGTAGCACTTTTACGTTGATATCGTCACCTAAAGATTACTCTGAAGATGGGACTAAGTTTTTCCAGCACCAACTGCGAGGAGGATCGTCGTTCAGGCAAATCTGGACAGGACTGATGGGGTCAGGGGTTGGGACGGAGAGTGAGTAAAAGAGCCATCGTGTCTAAGCTGTAATAAGCGCATTGATGGGTCTTTGGAAATACTAAGTGATGTTCATCGGGTGGCTCCTCCGAAATCGCTCGGATCT